GTAGAAAAAGTTGCGCTAACAAGCGCACTGCCAGCCCCCGCCTCCTCTGTGCTGGAGCGCAAATATCAAAGGCAACTTCGAATGCAGTTCACACGCTGCGATTGGATGCCAGCTTTTTCGGTCAGTTGCTGTCGAAAGAGAAAAACTAAAAAAAAAAAAAACAGAATTGGCATCAACTGAAACGTGGTCCGCAGTAGCCGCTGCTGTTGCTGCTGCTGCACTATGTAGAGCCCAGTCCCCCTTGTCCATGGTCCGTGTCCCATGTCGATGCCAGAGGCAACTTGGCCAACTGAGCGCCAAGGCTGTGGCATGTGGAGTTGCAGTGAAAGGTTTTACCAGACACAAACGCGTGGACTACTCCAATTGGGAATTCGGTATAGAGCATAGAATGGACCATGTGCTATGCAATACCTTGTTAAGGACCAAACAAGCATTGAACCCATCAGCCGTTGGGCGCATTTGCCTGGCCATTGCACTAATTTCGTTAGCCAGCATAAGAGCCACAACCTGTGCGAATTTCGTTCGGCTAAATCTGTTGCTCACAATAGTGGACGGAGTAGTTGACTTGAGATACCCTAGAAATTTATTTATAAAAGACCTTATCAAATTTGTATGAGATCTGACCATAGCAATTTTTCACGATTGAGCGTAATATTATTGCTACGCCTATTTAAAAATGGTATGATGACTACATTGCTCTTCATGTTTATACTCTAATAGAGGAGTTTCGAGTATTCTTGACAATTATTACTACGAGCTCTTTCAAAATTTCATATTTATAGGGTAAGCTGGCAGCTTAAACTAGATGTTAAGGAAGAACTCTTTCTAAGAAACTTCTACAATCTGAAGTCAAAGCTTCGGAAATCAACTTAAAGATATTTTCTGATTGATTACATTTCTCCAGGGTATTTTATTAATCAGCATTAGACTGTGTAGAGTAATAATTCAATGGTATAGTTTATCGTCTTCACCGACACCTCATGTATATTATATATACTTTTGCTTATCGTTACATAAGAACTCATTACCTCATATATACCCAAGTTCAACAACTTGTTCTATTACAGGGTATTCGAACAGCACAAAATCGCAGTCAAGCGTTCGGTTCGCTTGTCAAGCTGTCGACCGGCTGCCAAGAGCTCAGCCATTGCACCCTCTAGACCCGCTTCCTCCTACTCGCCCCCCACCCCTCACCCACTTCTTTTTCCCGTCCCTAGCTCCAACGGTTGTAATTTCTTCAGCATTTGCATGGCTGAGATGCATCTGTGAGATACTTGTGCAACATATCTGAGATTGGCATGTGTGGGAAAATTTCTTTTGCATCTTCTACATGGCGCATCGAGTGGAATTCCCGCAGTGGCAAATAATTTTTATGTGCACTCGAATTCATGCAATCAAATGCAGCAATGCGAGTTGTAATCGAAGAAAAAGAAAAGAAAAAACAAATGAAATGAAATGAAAATACACGAATGTATTCATTGGTTTTTCATTACATTTCACCTGTGGATATTCAATTAATTGTCGGCCCGGCCATCGCGTGTCGTTTGGGCTTTATGCAACACGTCTGCCTGTCTTGGCTTGGCTTGGCTCGGGTTAGCTTGGCTTGGCTTATGCCATGCCGCCGTATCTACTTGCTGCCATCGGTTCCTGCTTGGCATTGAGGGTGTCCCAGCCACAATGACAAGCGTTCCGATGCGAGCAAAACATTATTATGTATACATAAATGTATATGTGTACATATATACTTATTTGTATATGCAAAAAGTGAAAGGTAGCCTGACTTAAGACTTTTGTAGCTATCATATTCTTTGCCGCCTTTGCACTGTCAAGGTGTACGGGCTACGGCTATGTGCAGTGATATCTGCTTTGTCTGGCAATTAGCAAACTGGTTTTAAATTGCTCTCTCGCATTTTGTTGTTAATCGTTTCTGTAGCTACAACGTTTACTGTTAATCGGCTGCCTGATTGGCAGTCTGGTCAGCGCCCAGGACTATCAGGATTATCAGCCGAGTGCGCCGAGAGCGGCGCCACACAGACTACACGCACAGGAGGAGGCGCGACCCACGCCAGTGCCCATTCTCAAGCAGATCAACAAGTAAGTTCTACATATATGGAGGAATGACTGCCTGATGGAGTAAGAGTGTGATTGAGAGAGTTACTTATGTTATACGTTATACATATATACTTGGATATAAAATAAACTTGGATTGATTAGCTGACTGTAATATATACGATTGAAAATCTGAATAGCTGACTTATGATGTATTGATAATATGATTGATAAGCTTATAGATATAGCTCAGAGGTAGGCAAACTGACTGATTGATTGTAGTATATGATTGGCTATTCTTGTTTCGATTAAAAAACTTAATGATTGATCGATGAACTGAGAAATTGATTGATCTGTAGAGAAAGTGATTGATGGATGAACTTATTGATTGAAAATATTTTTTTTTACAATTCTTTACATCATTAATTGACATATTAAACTACCGACTTTTTACAGAAACACTTGCTAAACTTGACTCCGGACATGATAATAGATTGATGAAATGCATAAATTTACGAACTAACCGAATGATTGATTGATTATTAATTTGATATCAATCAATTATATACTAATAATTGATTGATTATTTATTTTACACCAATTAATCCTATATTAAATCCATCCGTCTTAACAATAAATAATAGATGGATTGATTAAGGATTAAGGATACCTAAAAAAGTTAAATTTAAAAAAAAAGTTATTTTTCCCCGCATCAATCAAATTAATGCACAATACTCTCTAACTTTGCCAGGCACAATGAGGATGGCTCGTATACGTACGGCTATGAGGGTGCCGATGGCTCCTTCAAGATCGAAACGAAACTGGCCACGGGCGAGGTGAAGGGCAAGTATGGCTATGTGGATGCCGATGGCAAGGTGCGCGTCGTGGAATACGGCGCCAATAAGTACGGTTTCCAGCCCTCAGGCGAGGGCATTACGGTAGCGCCACCCACGCTGGTCGACGAGTCCACCAAGGAGGAGCCCGACTACGATGAGGAGCCCGTGCAGCGACCACAGCGGCCCTACGTAAGTCCATGTCATCAGCATCAATCAACCAATTAGGTTCATCTTCACATTGTTTGCTTTCCGCAGCGCGTGCAGCGCCCGCAGCAGCAGCAGCATCAGCCACGCCCACAGCCAGCACCACGCCCGCAGCCGCAACCGCAGCCACAGTATGTGCAGTACGAAGAGGAAGAGCCGGAGCCACAGCGCCGCGTTCAATATGCACCGCAACCACAGTCGCCCTCAGTTGGTCCAGCTCCGCCACGCCTTCAGGTGCCCGGCGCCCAGCGCACCACAGACGTGCTCTACTCGCCGCTCCAGCGTCCCGCTCGCCCCGAGCCCGATTACACACAGTCGCAGAGCTTCGGCGAGGGTCCCTCCAATGTGCGCGTCTCCCGACCCGTCTATGCCCTGCCGCCCGCCTCGCCGGCGCCCAGCAGCGCACGTGCCCAGGGCTTCCTGGCACCCGCATCTGGCGGCCGGCCACTGCTCGAGCCGGTGCGCTTCGGACCCAGCCAGGGCCCCAGTGCCCAGCCCGTGCAGCAGCCCCAACCCCAGCCCCAGCCACAGCCACAGCGCAGCTACCAGCCGCAGGCCCAGGGACGTGTGGGCGGTGGCGGCGGAAGTCTTCTGGATCAGCTGGCACGCGATTATGCCTTGCCCCAGGGCAATGCACAGCCGTTGCATGACATCACCTTTGGCTACTACTAGAAGTGGACTGAGGATTTCGTATTCGGGGTAGTGAGGCGGCGCATCAGCCGCTACTTTGAGTCAGGTGCATACAATGATTATTTGAGTAGTAATCCCCATCCCCAGACCCACCACATAGCTGTTCCCAATACTCTACGCCTGCCTTCACATTTCTGTTCCAACTGTACGCCAGTGTTTCCTTGCTTCTAGATCGTAGAGTCTTCTTCTTAATCTATAAATGTATTTTCCAATCATGAGATTTTATGCTCAAAGTTTTTTATAATAAATTAAAAGAAGGAAATTAACAAAAAATTGTATTTAATTGTTAGGGAGTGTTTGCGACTTCTTTTTGGGCTCAAATGGTTCAGAAATCCAGTTTTATAAAGGTGTTTTTTTTTTAACATATAAAATCTTATGTCTTGCATTTCTAATATTCACAAAACTTTTACTTATACGAAGTTGAAGCAAATAAATAATACTTAATTGTTTGTCATACAAATTATTTAATTTTTAAAAATAAAAAATCATTTTTTCAACAACATTTTTAAATTACAAAATAAATATAATATCATAAATAAATCCATATATCCATTATTCATATAAATAAATGAAAATGTAGGAGGAAAATTAAAAATAAAATACGAAATGCCAATAAATGTATTTTTTTTAGTATTTTTCTCAGATAAAAAACTGCGCATAATTTTTGGATTTAAATAAAATATGAAATGAAAATTATTGAGAAATTTAAAGTGCAAGCTTGAAAATTAAAAAAAAACATAATTTGAATCATAAATAAATATATATATACAACACAATTTATATATGAATATAATAATTATATATTTATATATATTTATATATTGTATTTTCTGAAACAAACAATTTATGTATGTAGCATACTTTTAGGCGCCACTAATAAAGTGAAAAACTCCGTGTGTGTCGTGTATATAGTTCAACGGTTATTTATTTGTTTAACATATATATATATATTTTAATATTTTAAATACTTAAGAATACGATAGATAATTTCGATGAACTCGTAGCCAAAGAGAGTAGTTTGTGTAGGAGTTGTGAAACGTCTACAGCTCGAGATGAAGTGGGTGGAAAGAGCATTTTGCTAAGAACTAACATAGAGTCGAAAGTGCTGTTAAATTGAATGGGCGTGGTCCAGAGTTAACGCCCAGGGCAGGCTGAGGGCTGGAAGAGCTGGTTCCGCTACGCATCGACTACTGCAGGTAGACTGTAAAGAGAGCGTCAGGTGAGATGTGTTTTGCTAGAGTTGAATAGCTGCGATAGCCAGCATCCAGGTGGTTTATGGGTGGGCAGATTTCAGGAAGGAGTGGGTGCTGTGGTAAATGGCAGTGTTGGTGGTGCAGTGGTGTTGGGATTTACATGAAAGCAGTGCAAATTGAGTGTGCCACAGATGCGCATGCCGTGTGCTTTGGTTTCAAACTCGTTTATTGCTTTAGAAGCTGCGAGTTTCACATAAATATACATATACACATATCTATATATATGTATGTTTGTATATATAGATATATGCATGTCGACTACATTGATGTAGATAACATGAATAAATTAGGTTAAGACGAAACTATCGATAAATGCTGCATATGACTTAGTGATCTATATAGCTATAGTGTGTAGAGCGGGTACACGCCTATGCCTACACCTCCAGCAGGCGATTGAACATGAGTGGATCCTGTATATCGTAGTCCTGCGCCCGGGACAAGGCCGGTCGCCGGGCGGCCACATGGCGTCGCACTTTGTAGCCACCGCTGTAGGCAGGCCTGGGCGGCGGCGGTGCACTGTACGTGTATTTGGTTTTCTGCACCACTGGCGGCAAATACTGGAAGGGAGCCACCTGCTTGTGCACCTGCTTCTCAATGGAGTAGGTGACGGGCGCGTTGCTATTGCTGGCGTTGGGGCCCTTGCGCTTGGCCACCTCCAGGGCGGCGATGATAGGCGACAGATCTTTGAGCGCATTGCTCTTGCTCGCATGATAATTGTCCACTTTGTACTCGTTGTTGCTGGGCGCTGGCGCTGGCGGTGGCGGTGGTCCAGCGGCTGCCGGCGTATAATCGTAGCCCTCATTCGGATGCTTCTGTATGTACGCCTCCTCCGCTGTCTGCGGCCGCTTGGCCATTTGGTGGTAAATGTCGGCGGGTCCCTGACTGGTAGGGCCATAGGCCGCCGTTATGGACTCTGTGTGGGAGAGAGACTCCAATGGGCCCAGATTATTGGGTAGCGGCACACCATAACTGTTGTACAGATCGGCCTGCTCCACATTGGAGCCATCGGATCCGCTATTCGTGTTCAGCGCCACCGTCTTGGATGCCGTGTATTCCGTCTTGCCATTGGGCAGCATGCTCAAAATCTCCTGCAGCTGCAGCGCTGCTCTGCGCGCCTCCTCGTCCGAGAGCTTCTTGTGGCGTCCATAGATGTTGAAGTCGTCTGTGCCGGCTGTGGTCACTGCAGCCAGTGTAATGAGTGTGTGTTGGTGTGTATGTGTGTGTGTGTGTGTGTTGGTTTGTTGTGTATGCAATGAGTGAGATTTTATTAGATTTACCAATTAAATATTTGCTTTGCGTTTTCTATTTACATTTTGAATGTGTGTGATTGTGTGAGAGAGTGTGAGAGTATGTGTGTGAGTGTGTCTGTGTGAGTATTATGAGTTTGTGGTTGGGTTTTTTACAGACGACGTTGATGCTTGTTTATTATGAATATTATTATGATTTGTATTTTAATTTTTATACAATATTATAATGTATTTAATGGATATATATTATTATGATTTGATTTTTCATTTTTATACATTATTAGTATTTCATTAGTTGTTGATGAAATAATGCAGTATATAATAGTTGAATATTACAGAGTGAATATCTGTGAATATCTATGGTTATAGTTATATAAAATTGGTCTGAGATTCGTATTTATAATCGAAAATCTCCTTGGGTTAAGTTTGCTTTGATTTTGCTTAGAAGCTATCTTAGTTTATAATTTGATGTATTTGGTTGTATAATTTTTTTTATAACTTATATCAACAATATATAGACACTGAATGATATAAGCTATATTTAATATAACCCATTTAGCCAAATTTTATCGTTATCAACTATACTATATTGAGATATAGAAGGAATAGAACAGTCAATATAATACACAAGAAGATATGAATAAACGATTCAGTTGCTGCTTGCGTTAAATAGAGTATTAAATTTTCGATTATACAGAATATACATACTTACAGTTATATATCTTCTTTCAAATTAGTTCAAATATTATGCTAGTACGTAATATATAATTCCATACACATATACACACAAAGCTCTATAAATATTTACTTATGAAACATATTGAGTTATTAAATATTTATTATTCTCGTTTCAGGGTTTTCTGGGCTAGACCACGGTAGTCGCATTTTGGCCATTAAATAATTAAATATGTACAAAATATTAAGTATGCGACATGTGGACGCTTTTAATGTCTTTTGGAATGTCGTTTGAGTGCTAAGTGTTGGACATACTATACACACACACACACACACGCAAATATGAATATACATATACCAAACATACCAAACTAACACTTGTTAATCATTATTATTGTCATTATTATGTACATAAAAAACAATAAACGTTGCACAATGCGCCATTTAAATTTTGTAAGACGCGCTCGAAACTGAAAGTTAGAGCCAAATAGAAGTGTGTCATCGATTTGGGCACGTTGTGGCACATACGGGTTAAGGTGTGGTGCCGTATAGCGCAGCGGATATATGTACATATACATATACACGTGAGGGACAGAGAGAGAGAGAGAGAGAGTGTGTAGAGTTAATCTGAGCTGGCTTGAATTAAGTATATAAATTCAACTAAAATTAAGTGAAATGTATTATTAAATAAAAAACTAATAAATAAAAAATGTTTGAATTAATTTTGGGCTTGATTTGAATTTTTGTTTTTGTAATCAACAAAGTGAGAAAATTAAAAAAAAATTTTTTTGCTCGCAGTGTATTATGATTCATTCAAATTTTATGTTAATTCATTGCTTATGATAAGTTTTCAGCTTGAATTAAAACTTTGAAACAAAACAAAAAACTTACACTTGAAAAAAAAATGTTTGCGCTGTACTTAAAAAAATAAATATTTTTGGAATGTGAATTTTGCTTGAACAAAAAAGAAATCCAACAAAAAAATATAGTTTTTTTTTGTAGTGTAGATTATATACAAGTGTTTTCAGATTCCATTCAAGACCAGCTTGAAAAAAGCTAACGAAAGCTAAAACAATATTTCTATACAATTTACTATTAATTTAAAATTAAATATAGTAAATAAATCTTCTAAAATTAATTTCTATAAAATTTACATAAATGATGATCGTGTGCTTAGTTATTTTTGCAGTGTAGTGGAGTGTGATTTGTAAAACAGTTGTGTCAGACAAATTATGAGCAAGCGGATGCTTTCACTTTTCATCTGTTTGGGTATGCGCGGAAGTGAGACCTCGTTAGGAGGAGGCGGCTGATGCGGTGCGGGTGGTGCGGGTGGTGGTTAGCAAATACAGGTAGCAGCTGGACAACGCCTGCTCATTGTTGTTATTATTATTGGTGTTAATATGGATTGTGAACGGGTTACTCGGCGGATTAGTGAAACAGGATTAGTAAATATTTACAGAGTATGTACAGCGGTTGTATGGGGCAGCCGTTGGCTGGTCTAGACTACGCACCATCTTGTCCATAGGCGGAGGGCAGATAGTTGCTCTGCGGTGCCTCGAAGGCCGCGTGGCCAATGGTGAACGGCGCACCGGCGCTGCCACCGCCGCCCCCATAGTTGGAGCCGCCCGGCGGCAGATACTGATGTGTGGCGCTGCTAAAGGTTGGCGGCTTCGATGGTGGACCGTAGTTGGAGTGACCCGTTGGTATCTCGTATGTGGTTATGGCTGCAACGAGAAGCAGAAGTGTGTGTGTGCGTGTGTGTGTGTGTGTGTGTTCGAGTGAGTCAAAACAAACCGAAATAGGCTAAAGCATGCGAGACACGGCCAAAACGGGTTCGAGCCGTAGCGAAACGAAAGTGAAAATGGAAATGAAAATGAAAATGGAAATGGAAATGCTGCAACGGGGTCAACGAACGGCACGAATTGCCTCTTCCTCGGCGCGATCCGCCGCCGCTTGTTAAACATTTTCAATGTTGGGTTATGCCAGCGATTTAATTATAGTATAGATGCTTATACATAGAGATATGTACATGTGGTTCAACAGCCGTTGCACTGGACAATAAATGCGTATGCGAGTTACGTAACGACCTTAGCGGATAGTTAACGCTCGAGTTGCGTTCGGAGGCGCGTCTCAGAAGACAAGAAAATTGATGTTTTGCAGCAGCTCGCGGGCATACTCACTCTCATGATGGATCACGGGACCTGGCGCCGATGAGGAGTGCTTGTTGCCGCTGCTGCTGCTGCCGCTGCTGCCGCCGGAGGAGGCGCCCGACAGCGAGCTCAGCTTGGCAAATGGATGGATGAACCCGCTGCCGCCGCCGCTCGAGTGGCTCGTGGCGTACGTGTGCGAGTTGATGTGCGCCGAGTTGATGATGGACTTGCCCACGTCGGTGACCTTGTCACCGGAAGCGGCCACCAGATTGCCACCAGCGCTCAACGCATAGCCGCTGCCCTTGATCAGCTGACCCTTGAGAGCGGTAACGCCACCGGTAATGGCCTTGACGGCCTGGAAGATGGTGTTCAGCACGGACTTCTTGAACGACCACGGATCATAGTCCACCGAGTTGCCCTAGAGAGAAGATTAGTTAGAGCATTCCAACTGCTTGAGTTGCTGCTTGACTCACATGCACCACCACGTCATGATGATGGGTTTCTCCACCGCCGCCGCCGCTGCTGCTGCCTGAGCTGCCCGAGGCTATGGAAGCAGAGGCACCGCCAATGCTGCTCAGCAGGCCGGACTTCAGGTGCGCCACATAGTCGAAGCTGCCGGAGCGTTTGGCTATCTGTGAGTCCTTCACGCTCTCGCCCTGCTCATTGTCCAGATCGATGTCCTCCAGCGACAACGATTTGTCCGCCGCTGTGCTGCTTGTGGCGGGATAGGCGTGGCCGAGCAGAGGCAGCAGCAGGCAGAGGCACAAGCAATACAGCTGCAAAAAGTGGGAGAGCACAGAGTGAGTGATATGAGTGACAGCTTGCATAATCAGTCAAAGTTAATTTAGTTTTTTATTAGCGCTGAATTCAATTGCCGAAATGTCATCTGTGTTGCATCATCGTTGCAGACATGGCATGTGGCATGTACCATGTAGCAGGTGGCATGTGGCATGTTTCAGCCATGCATTCAGTTGTCAACACACACACACACACACGCACACAGAAACGCAAAGTAAGTGAAGTTTCAAGTATTTGTTGCGGTCACAGCTGAGCGCATTTCTCTAGGAGATGAGGCAGGAGACGGCAGCAGACGCAGGAGACGGCAGCAGACGTCTGCTCTGTGCGCGCTCAGCGTTTTACAACAGTTTCATGCGCCATCAAGCAAATCGATTAGACTATCAGAATGGTTTCATTTGCCTAAATGCTAAATGCTTAGCCACTGAATACGTTAATTATAGACTGCATCCAGTTGATGTCCAATTGAACAGAACATATGATAATTGCCTAATGACTTCATTTCCATGGCAATTGCCATAACTCTTGACTCACAGACCAACACGAATTGCGTAAGTTTAACTAAACCAGTTGTTAACTGAGGCGATTCACCGTCTAAACTGCACAATTAATTATATTAAATAGCTTGAAAAGAATCTTAAACACAGTTAATTGCATTTTAATCACTTCAAAGTAATATATTATACATTGAATTGGGGCAAGTTATATATTTATTATATGTTCTGCTCACAATATTTAAGGATATCGTATTCAAAAATATTGAAATTCTTCTCAAATTTTACAGGAATTTTTATTTATTGTAATATTCCAATATAATCTGAATCAAATATTTTTGAAGTATTTAAAATTAAACAATTTATTTTTATTTATATAAAACAATAAAATAATATCATTATATGGACAGTCGTTCTATCATATATCTGTTCAATTTATTATAATATTTTGATAAAACATAGAATATTCAAAAATATACAATTTTGAGACTATTGAGAAATACTGAAAGTGTTTTCGAAAATTCTGTAAGTGCTGCAAAATATTGAAAACCTTCCGCATTCTTTTAATATTTGTAAATATATTAAATAATATACATAATATACAAGTATAATTTATGAAAAAATTTATATTTTTGAAAATATGAAAAATTATAAAACAGAAGTGATTATTGGTGAATACAAATATATTGAATAATTTAAATAATAAAATTACTTCATATATACTTTTATGCAAAATTATTTAATATATTCTATTATAAAAAAATTACTTTAAAATATTGCAAATATTATTATTAAACAAAATGTGGAGAAATATTACAAAAATTCTAAATTCTTCGCTGTATTTAAAATAATTAAAAATCAAAAATTAGTCTACAATATTAAATATATTTCCATGTATTCTGTATTTACCCTTTTGAAAATTGAATATTGGCTATGGCTTCATTTGGGCTAGATTTGCAAGAAGTGTGAGAGGTCACTATCGAAATATTAATCTCAGATCTGATTGCCCTCTACAAATGTTGAACTACTTTCGTCTGCTTCAAGTGGAAGCAGCAAATAAATAGTGAATGAATGCATTCATATAGGTTTATATACAGATGAATATCAATAATTATTCACATGTATCAACACTGATTCCAATCA